CCAATAAAATCATGTTCCAAGTTGGTATATAAAGAAAAACAATTTTACCAATTATCTTATTTAGTAGAAATATGATGCCACAGTGTTTGTTAATGGGACATGGATTAGAAAATAAACCTGTGATGCGTTTAACCAGAATCAAGTTATTGGTATATCTGTTGTTGATCATTGAAGGCTGAAATTTCTTTGAATTTTTTATTTTGCCAATATACTGAGCTGATTACACAGCCACATTGTTTTTTATTGTTTTATTTTTCATAATTACAGTTGAAATTATCTCTGTTTTCTGTTTGAAAAGCACGTTTTAATGCTTTACTATGAGGTTAAATTGCTTAATCTTAGGTTTCATTTACATACACATCAGAACTGTCTTAACTGAAGGAAACCAATTTGAGGGAACTGAAAATAACTGGATATGTTAAACATTAACTTCAGAAAGTCATCTTGTGAGCTATTTGGTTGCATAACGAAATTCTGTCAACACATAAATAAAATAAATCAATACATCAGTACACCCCTCACATTTTTGTAAATATTTGATTACATCATGTGACAACACTGAAGAAATGACACTTTGCTACGATGTAAAGAAGTGAGTGTACAGCTTGTATGACCGTGTAAATTTGCTCTTCCCTCAAAAGAACACATCACACAGCCTTTTTTGTCTAAACAGCTGGCCACTGGAGTCCTCTTCCACTCCTCTATGACGACATCACGGAGCTGGTGGATGTTAGAGACCTTGTGCTCTCCACCTTCCGTTGATGCCCCACAGTCAATATGGTTCACATAGTAATAAATTCTACATATATATTTGTTCTTGTCTTTACTTTTGTTGTTTGCTGCTGATTGAATTAACAGTCGAATGTGACATGTGACAGTACAAGCTAAATATACATAAAAAGCTGAACTCTTGCTTATGAAGTCTAGTAGAAGTTGAAAAGTGAAAATACTCCCCAAAAAGGTTTCACATGAAATATTGAAAAGTAATCATGCAGTGTAATTTCTGTGTGTGCAGGAGTAATTTCAATTTCTACCTTATACTTTGAGAAATAAGTAGCCTTACACTCCAGAGCCTAAGAAGTTTTGGAAGAGTGCCTTGTTTGCTGTTCTGATATAAGTCAAGTTTAAAGAAAGACAAATGTGCGCGCATCATGTGAACGTGTGCAATTCATTGTGACTGTAAGGATCGCTGGGTGCGCAAAGCAGATGAGAGCCCAAATGCATGACACTGAGTTGAGATTGAGTTCCAGGTTTTATTTATCCCAAGCACGACAACAGGCATGAACAGAACTCACGAGTACAGGAACGTCCAAAAGGTAGCAGGTAATAACACAAGTGAAAGACATGAGGCCAACAAGGCAGACAGACAGAGTTACCGAACACTAGACGAAAGACAAGACAGACCCCCAAAACCCAGACCAAAATAACACTAACTAAACACAAAAGGGCAAAACCAAGGATGGCCAACCGGCAGAGCGCGACAGTACCCCTTCACCGGCGAGCATCTCCAGATGGTCAACAAAACAGCACAAAAACAAGGCACAAGCCGGCCCAGGGTGGGCGGAGGGAGGACAGGAGGAGGGCAAGTTGAGCCAGGGTGGGCGGAGGGAGGACAGGAGGAGGGCCAGACCAGGAACTCTCAGGTGGGTGGCCAGAGGGCAAGGCAAGGGGGCGACAGAGTTCGGGAGGTCGCACAAGCAGGCCAAGGGGACAAAACAGTCCGGGGGAACCACCCAACAGGCAGATCATGCCCAGGAAACAGTTCAGGAGGCCGTCCCGGAGGGCGACCCAGGAAGCCGTGCAGAACAGGGGGGCCACAGAGTTCAAGGGGTTGGCTGGACGGCCAACAGTGAGGCAGCAAACCCACTGGGGGCCGAGCAGGAGGCCGACGGCAAGACCTCTTTGGAGGTCGGCACCCAAAGCTTGGGTGCTCTGGAGGCACAGCTGGGCTGAGGACCACCGGCGAGACAGCTGGGCTGGAGGCCACGGACCGGACACGAGGAGCGGGAACCGGTCTGGCCACCGATGGAGGGCAGGCAGGCGGCTAGCAGCGCTAGCATGCCGGGGATGAGGGCAGGTGGGCAGGCAGGCGGCTAGCAGCGCTAGCAGGCCGGGGATGAGGGCAGGTGGGCAGGCAGGCGGCTAGCAGCGCTAGCAGGCCGGGGATCACGCTGGTTGCAGACGGGTGGTGCTGGTGCCCTGGTCGCCTCCTATGACCACCACGGGAACTCGAAAAGATGGCCAGGCGACTTCCCTCAGAGGAGGACTCCGGGGGAAGCCTAGTCTCCAGGCTATCAGGCCATAGGCTAGCTGCCCGTGCTGCCTCTGACTCCCTGGCCTTCATGGTCAGGTAGGCCAGGAGAGTCATAGTCCCTGAGTCCTGAGTAGGTAGGGCAGGCAGGCGGACGGACAGGCTAGGCGGAGGACTAGCCACGCTAGCCGAGCAGGATACTGGCAGGACAGGCAGAGGGCTAGCGGCGCTAGCCGAACACGTTCCAGGCAGGACAGGCGGAGGGCTAGCAGCCGGGGAGATGACGGCCGGAGGCTAGCGGTCCGGGTGTTAGCCATTTCCAGGCTAACAGACTGAGGAACTGATGAGGACTTGGCTGGGGGATGGGCTGAGGTGTGGAGGAAGTCACAAACCCACCCAGGGAGAGAGTCTGCTGCTCCTGGCTGAGCAGCCAGGCTCTTCCAGGCAAGGGACACGAAGCTGCCTTATGGCTAACATGACTAGCCCCATACCACATATTCCTCAACACGTCAGTCTGTTCCTCAGTTAGAGTGTCTGCTGGGCTCTTAATTGGCCCGGTCATTCTGTCAGGATCGCTGGGTGCGCAAAGCAGATGAGAGCCCAAACGCATGACACTGAGCTGAGATTGAGTTCCAGGTTTTATTTATCCCAAGCACGACAACAGGCATGAACAGAACTCACGAGTACAGGAACATCCAAAAGGTAGCAGGTAATAACACAACATCCAACAAGACTGACATGAGACAATGACTGGGCAAGGACAAGACAGAAACACCAGGTATATATACACAGGGACTAACGAGCAGGGCGGGAGCAACACAGGTGAAAGACATGAGGCTAACGAGGTACAAGTAGGGAGAGAGAGAGAGAGCAGGGGAAAACAGAGACAGACATGCAGAGGGATCACTGGGGTAACAGACATGACAAGGGTTACCGAACACTGGACGAAAGACAAGACAGACCCCCAAAACCCAACAGACCAAAATAACACTAACTAAACACAAAAGGGCAACACCAAGGATGGCCAACCGGCAGAGCGTGACAGTGACGTTGCAAACTGAAGTCTCAGAGCTGATTAAATGCACCTGTGGTAAATAGGTGCATCTATACAGTGTAAGCCACAAAAGACCTTCTCAGAGGTCACAATAAATGATACCTCCAATGGGGCTTCAAAACAATTCAGTGTGCAGATTATTCTTTGTCACAATAGAGTAACTTCTCAGTGAATGTCACAACCAGCACATGACATCAGCTTTTAATTTTTTTACTTTCTACTAACATATGCAAATGTTCACCTATAAATACCTCTTAATAGTTTGGTGAATGTGCTTTTGTTCTAAGTATATTTAGTCTTCTCCATTTGACAAATTATTCCAATACACAAGCAACAGTTTAATTAAAATCATATCTTTCATAAAAACATAAATATTAAAAGGTTACAAATGTAAATGTAAAATAATGTGTTTTAATTGTAATTATGATAGAACCTATGGATAGGTACCCAGTGTCAAAATTTAAAATAACTAGTGTTCAGGTATTGTGTTCTAAAAGTATTTTAAACAAAGGCTAAGCAAAGAAGCAGCGAGCAATGCTGGAGGCGGGACTTTTATATTCTGTATGGACACAGTTGCTCATAATCTTGATGGCTTCTGCAATCACCTCAAAAGATGAGATTGTCTCAGCATGATAATCTCCCTGCCATTTAAAACAAATGGTGATAATGTGCAATACCCTTACTCATATGTGCAATTTAATCTTTGCTGCTGGACACTGCAGTAACACTCTATGCTGACAGGCAATGTGCAATAATAATCTACACTGCAAGACAGCACTCGGAACACTCAAGTCAGCTCTTATTGTACACTGGACAAAATTATAAACGCAACACTTTTTTTCATTTTTTTGCATTTATGGAAGTGGTGTGTGCATTTATTACTTTTGAGACTCCTTTAGCTCCATATAACTAAGGGATGGTTCAGGATTCAACTGACCAGCCCTGACCATAAGCTTTATCAAAGAGGAACGTCTTAAGCCTATACCGAATACTGAAAGTGTAAGCATTATTGGTCTCTTGATGGGCACACGGTCATGTTATTGTTACAGTGTTTGCAGTATAAATAAAATATGTTTTTCCACCAGGGCAGTAAAATATGAAGTTTGATCTATCACAATACAGCGCTGGAGAACAACGTTAGAAATTAAAATCCTACTACATATTTTTTCCAGCAGGGCAGTAAAATGTCAAGTTTAGCTTTCTGATCTAAGCTTCCATGCTTGACTGTTTTATTGCCAATTAATCAGCCCATATAACTGTCTCACATTTCTATCCACGTAATGTTAGCAAAGCCAAAATAACTTACAGCCCTGGAGAATAAGGTTACATGAAATTACAATCCAATTAACGTTACATATTTCACAACACTGACAAGAAAACACGTTACTTCTCTCAGTGATTATGGCTGGCTTCGACCTAAAGCAATCAAACAACAGTTTTCATTTGCAAGATCCACACGCTGTCGGCTCGTGCTGAATAGTACGTGCAACGTTAGTGCTCCATTTGTCCAAGTTTCACTTCTCTTCTTACTTCTAGTAAACCAGATGACTCAGTTTCATTTTCAGATTATTTTATGTTATGTTACATGCAGGTTAAGGGCAACTAGCACCACCTAGTGGTTACTTTAAAACTGCTGTCAGCTGAATGTCATTGTTGTATTGGTAAACTGTGATCACATGGGTAGGGTCACAGTTCAGACCAGCCATTTTGCACTTAGTTTGGAAAACAAGGTGCTTTGTTTTGTTTAATCTTCGGCATCCACCTGTATTGAACTCTGGATAAGCTTTGATTGTAAGTTATATTACGTGTTTTGACTTTATAGATAAGGACTGATGCAAATGTCGTTGTATAAATTCATATTTGGTGAGATTTATATTTAATTACATAATCTGTTTTTGCCATGTGTAGTGCAGCCATCCGTTTAATTCCAGCATGTACATTTTTACACAGTTTTTAGTTTCGTTAATAGCTTTCTTTGTGTGTTTGCTTTTAGTATCACAGAGCTGTTGGAAAACACTGCAAGAATGCAAGTTGATGAAGACAAACAAGTAAACAGCCCTCAACCTTACTTCCACATGTCACACATCATTTAACCCTTAAATCTGTTTAGCCATCTGTCACCTTGTGTAGCACAATCAGTGGACAGAATATTTCCTCTTCTTCTTCTTACGCATTCAGTGTAGTGATGAGTGTTGTGGGGTTTTGTTCTTGGCTGGGTTTCCCTCAATAATAGACCAGAAACACAGAAGTCATTAAGTCTGTATCTTTTAGATTTTGCAATAATTTATTTACATAAGAAAAGGTATAAAATATGAAAATGACAATTAATACAGATTACATAAAGTTATAATTAAGAAAAATAATAAAAATAATGGAAAATGAATTGAACTTGAGATCACTTTAGCCTCCTCAAAGGAGTCTCCTACCAATATCCTAAAGATTACTCAAAACCCTCAAATTCACTCAGATTAGCCTTCTAGAATCATTGGACATTAAACTTTACATTCTATTAATATTAGATGATTCATTAATTCCTAATTCTTAGAAAGAGATTACTGACCCAATTTTGCCATCTGGAGAAAGTCTACCGGCCACTCCTTGTTAAGTCAAATATAAACCCCCCAAAATTACAGCCACGTAGGCAACATGGTGGATTTCTAACTGCGTCATCTCACTTCTGGTATGCTAGGTCTCTGTGTTATTCAAGTTCAACAAAACAAGTCATTAATATGATATCCCCCTTGAGTAGTTTTCCAGGAAGAAATTTCTCAATTCCCAGAAACACACAAATCTTCTAAACTTTTGGTTGGCAACATGGTTTTCACCAGAAATCAAGGATAAGACATAGACAAGACATAGAATTTAGGTAAAGAAAGTATAATTTTGTTTGTTCTCTTAGCATGAAATACTCATATATATACATATACATATACACTTGTATAACATGCTATGATAAGTATGATGACATTCTTCACTCTAATGGATCCTTATCTTGTTTTATGTGTTTAAAATGTCAAATGACCTTCCATTTCCCATCATGTGTATACAAAACTTTCCATGTAACCTTAAATTAATTTCTACAGTGTCTACAGGGACGGAATTATACAAGAAGAAGAACAACGCAGTGATGAAACGCGCTCTGTAGTGCTGTTTGTCTGTTTACGGCTACTGTAGAAACATGGTAGCGCAACATGGCGACATCCATGGAGGGGGGGTCCTGCAGTGTCTGTAGATAGAAATGTCTCATTCTAAGGTAAATAAAATATAATGGTTCATTATGTAAGGTCTTTATACACCACTGGAAACATAGTTATGGATATTATATGACATTTCTGTCTGGCAAGGCAAGGCAAGTTTATTTGTATAGCACAATTTAACAACAAGGTAATTCAAAGTGCTTTACATAAAACATAAAAGCAACAGGGAAATATGTAAAAGTTTAAAAGCAACATAAATATAATAAAAGTTACAGTGTTAAAATCAGGGTTAAAAGAGTTAAATGGAAAATAATAAAAAGCTAGAAACAAAGAAAAAGAAAACAGGACAGTAAAAGTTACAGTGCAGTGTAAGTTATCAGTAAAAAGAAAAATCTTAAATATTTAATTAAAAGCAATGGTAAAAAGAGAAGTTTCAGCAGACCTGCAGTTTTCTGGGAGCTTTTATTGGTTGGCTTGTGATGATGATTGGCCAGCTTCAGAACAGTTTGACCAATGAGCAGCCAGGCCAGACTGCACAGACTTCCAATCATACTGGAATCCACCTGGAAAGGACACAAGAGAAAACACAGGGATGGGGGAAAGACAGAAAACAGGACTTGGCTTGCTTGGCACGCAACACAAGATAAACTCATGATAAAACAGTAAAAGTTGAACTTCAGACTGGTTTACAGTGTTTTCATACTGCTGGGTGGAGTTTTTATTGAAGCAGGTCACACTGTGTCTGAATCTAATCCACTTTTTCTACACAGACCGAATCAAGCTCCTGGACTGACGGACATTTATGGAAGTAAGTTAGGTAAGTGGAACTCTGCTAAATCTGAATTCCCTTTTCTTCTTCTTTCTTTCTTTTTTTCTCTGCTAAAAGTGTTTGCGCAACAAATTGTGTTACAAATTCTACCCACTACTCAAGCAAAAATTGTCCCTCATAGACCTCATGGTGGCACTATAACAATCAACTTTACATTTTTGCTATTATCTAGAAAACGGTTTTGTTTAGAGTCAAACTCGCTGAGCAGTCCTGGGATATTCTTCCACTAGGGGGCGCTGCACTTGAAAAAGTTTATACCTCGTATAAATTGCGCTGCATGGATTCATACAAAATTCAGATTGTACAATCTAGGGCCACTACTCAGTTGATGCATAAAATTTGGTAATGATTGCTCGAAGTGGGCGTGGCTTATTAAGATAAATATAAACTTCTAGACATTTCTCATTCCAAACTTTAAAAAATCTAAGAAAATCACCCTTTCATCCAGGAGAGCTGAATTTCTTTCAGCACATCCACTGATTTGTGGCCAACGTTTACCTTACTGCAATCTATGGTCAACTCAGAAGTCAGTCACTCTATATTTTTCAGAATATGCTAATTCAATTAACATCTCTATCTCCACAAGTCTTTCTTGAAACGCTCTCAAACTCGATAGAGTCGTTCTCTAGATGGCCGATATGAAGTTTTTCAAAGAGTTTTTATATTGGTCAAACGCTGAGTCTGCAGTTATATTCTGTATCTTACTTTAACTTGTACAGAATGCACCGCTTTTTTTTCTTTCTTTTTTTTGCTCAGTGTTCAAATCAATGATGAGTGAGGCAAAGATAAGGCAAGGAAAGTAATGGGAAGTTAGTGTTGTAGTTTGTCTGCTGATTTGGCAGGTTATCAACACGGTGAACAGCAGCAGCAGAGAGTGTGCCACCAGTCCACTTCTAGTGTTTAAAAGATAACATCCTTCAGGGTCTCAGTAAGTCAGGATAGTCCCAACTAGCATAAATGTTTCATAATGTTTTGTGACTCATGTATGATGCGATTACGACTTTTATGAAAAACTGCTGATTTGAACAAGGTTTTGTAAAATAAATATTCGTTCCTCTGACAGTATCACTATCAGATTTAGTACTTAGACACAGTCCAGTTTTCCAGAATATTTGGACGAAACCCATGGTTTGATTAACCAGATACTTTTTCACTAATCACAGTGAGCATTTATTTAGATCAACCTGAAGGTGGCATCATTTGTGCCAGAAAATTATATCAAGTAATGCCCTTAATCACCTAATCAAAATTTCCCCAAAAGCAACGTGCTAAAATGTTTATCTGATGATATTTTAAATCATCACACTGTTTTCGCCACAGATTCCATGTGTAAAGGAAAAAGGAGCTGGCTGACTGTCTGCAGAGCGGTAAGAGGCTTTTTCACACAAGACTTTTGTTAAATTAATACTAACATCCACTAGATCTTATCAAACCACTATCAATAATATTAAGGTGTACTGCATTTAGAAATCCCGACAGTATGACTTTCAATACCGCCAAAAACTCAAAAACACTCCTCTTTCTTTTAAACTGATCTTCACTAGCAAGGACCACGCCACAACAATGTGTGCTTTAGAGTTACATGCAAATAGGAATGTGTTCTTAACATTAAGCAAAAAAAATAGGTTTAATTCTCTCAGGTGTATTTCACAGGTTTGTGATGACAACGACTCTTCAGCCATCCAAGAGGCCCTCCCTTCATTAGCATTCAATATATTTGTGGTCAAGAAAATTCAGGGAGGGAGGTCTTAAAAAGCAAGCTGGAGTAGCCATCACAGGAGCAATGGTCCTTTTTGATATTTCCATTGTAGCACAGTCTTTCACCTACCTAATGGGCCTTTTAAGGTTTTTCACAAGATCTTCGTGGAGCTGGAGGATGGGAACTACAAAATGTTCTCTAAAGTCCACGATCTCAAGGTCATCTTACTGGTCTAAAAGCCATACAGACATTGGTCAGACAAGGTGGAGGACTGTGGAGGACACTTTTTTGAAAGTGTAGTATTGAAAAATCTGTACAAAACATATTTGTTATTGCACTTTTTTTTATTTGGGTGTTTGAGTGGAAGTTTAATATACTCTTCTTTTGGTTGCTGCGTTTAGTTGAAAGTTATGAAAAGTAAAAACAAATTCATTTTCCACAAAACATGTCTTAGAGTATGATTTTGTGCTTCACAACTATAACACTAACTTGTTCAATATTTTTCCACATCCTTATTGTATTAGTTATTTTTATAAACATTTACTCATCTTAATAAGACACCGTTTAGTTTAGGTAGCTGCAAATGTGCATTGTTAATGGTTAACAAGTGCATAATAAAGGATTTATTAATTTAAATAAGTCTTGCCTTTCTTGGAAGAGAAAGGACAACAACACCACAACACATGAAACAAATAACAGGTGGGTAAAAAACCTGTCAGATAGTGAACTCATCCAATCAGAGCAAGACATTCTGGCCAAAGGATTAAACTTTGGCATCACACCACAGCAGCTGCCTATAGTGGACCTCATCACAGCAACAGAATCGGCCATTAAGAAAAACAAATTCACTGAAACAGAAGCAGAAGAGCTAAAGATATCAGCAGCCCTTTCTAATGCGAAGGCTACCCCTTCCAACCTCACCATCCAAGAAAGGAAGGCTGTGACATCACTGAGCTATGATCAACAGATCACTATCCTACCTGCTGACAAAGGAAGATGGTTTGGAGACAAACACATATGAGACACTGAGGCGAGACCCAACCAGCGGGAACAAGAAAAAGCCTTCTGGGGAAGACCCTGCCAAATCTGACCAGTGATGACATGTATAGCCGCATGTCGTCATTCCGCCGCTGGTTGTCGAGGTGGTGTCCAGCAAACGATGTGGGCTTTGTTGATCATTGGCAGACTTTCTGGGGAAGACCTGATCCGGAGAGACGGCATCCATCCCACTTGGGAAGGAGCAGCTCTCATTTCTAGAAATCTGGTTTAAAAGTTTATTAGTGGACCAAATCCATGACAACCCAGAGTTGAGACCAGGAGGCAGAGTCGCAGTCTAACACACTTCTCTGCTCCTCCATTTCAGGAGTTACTTAGTGAAAATCCTATAGTGACGGTGTCTGCCCCCCCACCATCGAAATTATTTAAATCAAAGGTAAACAGAAGAGGAGCTGTGCATAAAAACCTCATAAAAATTAAAACCACAAGAGCAATAGTGCAAACTAATAGGTAAATTAAATGTGGAGTCTTAAACATCAGATCTCTCTCTTCTAAAGGTGTACTAGTAAATGAACTAATATCAGATTATGATATTGATTTATTTTGTCTTACTGAAACCTGGCTGGGTGATGGAGAATATGTTAGCCTAAATGAATCCACCCCTCCCAGTCATATTAATACTCACATTCCTCGAGGCACAGGCCGAGGAGGTGGAGTTGCAGCTATCTTCGACTCTAGCCTACTAATCAGCTCTAAACCTAAACTAAATTATAACTCATTTGAAAGCCTTGTTCTTGGTCTTTCGCACCCAAGTTGGAAATCACTGCAACCAATTCTTTTTGTTATAGTGTACCGAGCGCCTGGTCTGTATTCTGAATTCTTATCTGAATTTGCAGAGTTTTTGTCAACTTTAGTCCTTAAAATGGACAAAGTTATTATTGTAGATTTTAATATTCACGTGGACGTTGAGAATGACAGCTTCAGTACTGCGTTTATCTCTCTGTTAGATTCCATCGGCTTCTCTCAGAGTGTTCATGAACCGACTCTGTTTTAACCACACCCTCGACCTTGTTTTGGTGTATGGTATTGAAATTGAACATTTAGTGGTGTTCCCACAGAATCCCTCTTTATCCGACCACTGTTTGATAACTTTTGAGTTTGTATTGCTGAACTACATGCCATTGGGCAAAAATTTCTATACAAGATGTCTGTCTGATAGTGCTGTAGCTAAATTTAAGGATGCGATTCCATCAGCTCTAAATTCATTATCAAGTCACAAAGTCACAGAGGACTCCTATGCTAATTTCAGTCCCTCCCAAATCGATCATCTTGTTGATAGTGCTGCAGGCTTGCTTGGAAAATTCTCGTTTAATTTGGCAAGATAGTCTTAAAACTTATAGGAAGGCCCTCCGTAATGCCAGAGCAGCGTACTACTCGTCATTAATAGAGGAAAATAGGAACAACCCCAGGTTTCTTTTCAGCACTGTAGCCAGGCTGACAGAGAGTCACAGCTCTATTGAGCCAAGTATTCCCATAGCTCTCAGTAGTTACGACTTCACGAGCTTCTTTAATGATAAAATTCTAACTATTAGAGACAAAATTCACCAAGACCTGCCCTCAACTGGCACCGACTTATCTCTAAACTCAGGAACCTTAGAAACAGCTGTAGAACCAGATATATTGTATGTTTAGACTGTTTTGCTTCACTCAATCTTTACCAACTAACTTCAATAATTTCTTCATCTAAACCATCAACCTGCCTCTTAGACCCCATCCCGACTAGGTTGCTTAAAGATGTTTTACCCTTAGTCAGCACCTCTATACTAGATATGATCAATCTATCTTTATCAACAGGCTATGTACCACAGTACTTTAAAGTAGCTGTAATTAAACCTCTTCTGAAAAAGCCCAAACTTGATCCGGATGTTTTAGCCAACTGTAGACCTATATCTAACCTTCCATTTCTCTCTAAGGTTCTGGAGAAAGCAGTTGCTAAACAGCTGTGTGACTTTCTACAGAGCAATAGTTTATTTGAGGATTTTCAGTCAGGATTTAGAGCTCATCATAGCAAAGAGACAGCACTGGTGACAATTACTAATGACCTCCTTATTGCATCAGACAAAGGACTTGTCTCTGTACTGGTTTTATTAGATCTTAGTGCTGCATTTGATACCAATGACCATCAGATCCTATTGCAGAAACTGGAACATTTCATTGGCATTAAAGGAACCGCTCTAAGCTGGTTTAAGTCCTATTTATCAGATCGATTTCAGTTTGTACATGTTAACGATGAGTCCTCCATGCACGCCAAAGTTATTCATGGAGTTCCTCAAGGATCTGTCCTCGGACCAATCCTCTTCACTTTATATATGCTTCCCTTAGGCAATATTATCAGGAAATATTCCATAAGCTTTCATTGTTATGCAGATGATACTCAGTTATATCTATCGATCAAACCAGATGAAACTCATCAGTTAGCTAAACTTCAAATGTGCCTTCAGGATGTTAAAACCTGGATGACCTGTAATTTTCTAATGTTAAACTCAGATAAAACTGAAGTTATTGTTCTGGGGCCTAAGCACCTCCGTGACGCATTATCTAAAGATATAGTTTCCCTTGATGGCATCGCCCTGGCCTCCAGCACCACTGTGAGGAATCTTGGAGTTATCTTTGATCAGGACATGTCGTTTAAGTCTCACATTAAGCAAATTTCAAGGACCGCCTGTTTTCACCTACATAATATTGCGAAAATCAGGAACATCCTGTCTAAAAATGATGCAGAAAAGCTAGTCCATGCATTTCTTACTTCTAGGCTGGATTACTGCAATTCCTTATTATCAGGCTGCTCGAAAAAGTCCATTAAGACTCTTCAGCTGATTCAGAATGCTGCAGCACGTGTTCTGACAGGAACCAGGAAAAGAGATCATATTTCTCCTGTTTTAGCTCCTGTCAAAGTGCTCCTCCTCAGGTGACTCCTGAACCAGCCTCCCTTAGTTATGCTGCTATAGGCCTAGACTGCCGGGGGATTTCCTATGATGCACTGAGCTCCTCTCTCCTCTACTTTCTCTCCCTCTGTATGCAACCTCATCCCATTATTGCATGTTACTAACACAATTCTCCCCTTTCTGGTAGTCTTGTGCTTTCTCGTCCCTCTCCTCTCTCCTCCTATCACTTCCTGCAGGTGTTTCTGGCTCTGGAGCTGTGGAGTCTGGATCTGTGGTTGCGGGTCACCTGCTGCCCCCGTGTTCCTGCTCGACACCCTCTGCTTCAACGACTATTGTTACTAGTCCTATTATTATTATTGTTATTATAATCATTAACATTACGATTGTTACCATTAACACTACTATAAATATCTGTACCATTTTTCATTTAGTCTATAGCAACATCACCTTTACTGTCTGTACCTCTGTGTGTGGATATTGTGTAGGCTGCCTCCCTCCCCTCTCTCTCTCCTTACATCCCTCTCTTTTTCTCTCTGTTCCTCTCCTTTCCTTGAATGTATATATGGACTACCCAAGATACACAAAGAAGGCAGGCGGATTTTCAGCAGCATTAACTTGGTCACCTACAACATTACCAGACATATATCTACCATTCTGGGCCCCTTGGTTGGCAACAAGCTTCACCACATCCAAAACTCCATTGACTTTGTAAAAAACGTTCAAGAACTGAAAGTGGATCCAGCTGAAACCATAGTGTCCTATGATGTGACTTATTTGTTGGTCACACCACATGACATTTTGTAAGGCCGCAGACAGTACGCCTACCGACAATCGGGTCCATGTAAGTGCTTCTCAGCCATGCATTTAACTTCACACGCTTGCCAGAACGTGTACCGAGAGCACGCCAATCTCACCCCGGGCAAGAAAGTTGACTCCCAGGTTCCTCTGGCACCATAACCAGGAAGAGTGGAGGATTTGTACCATGTCCACCCTCAACATGTGAAAACCTCTAAAAAGAACCCCAGATATTGAAAAGGGCCTGGCGCTCATAAACCAGTAATGATTTAATGTTATTAACAAGCAGAGACGCCACCAGAAGCAAAACAAATGGCACAAACAATGATGATGGGACAAAAACAGGAGCATGCCATGACAGTCGCCACCATCTCTCCATTACCACAATGGTACCCGATAACTAGAGCACCTTTAACTCACCTAACTTATCAAAACCACCCACTGATGAGCACAGCAAGCAAGACCCGGAGTGCACTGACAACAATTAAATAAACTCCCTGGTACCTGCCTAACTTCACACTGAAACAAAAGTATCTTCTGAGATGCGCTGGGCTCAAGACATCTTTAAAAGCACAACTTCAGTAAACCTCAGCCATTTGGCCAAGGACGTGGTAGACACGCTCACTAGGAGGTTCATATCCATGGGCACTAGCCTTGGTCCCCAGTGTGTCTCTTAAGGTGTCGGGGAGTGAGGTGTACTCACTGCCACAATTTGCTAAAATGTTCTGTACTCATACAGTGCCTTCCTAGTCTTCCGAACACTCAAAGTTCTTTTTCACCACTAGTTGTTGACCATGATTAGTCTAGGCGTACACATCTGAAGCAGGCTGAGAATGGCTTGAAAACAGTTCTGAAGAACTGGGTAACACAGCTCCTCTTTGTTGGTGTCACCAGGTGTCCAAGTTTGTCCCACTCTTGGACTGGCTGTGCAGTTGTCTGAAAAGCAGCTACATCATCATCATCGTTTTCATTCATAGCGGGCTCATCAGTGATTGCATCTTCCTGGGAGACGATCTTAGTAGCGCTGGTAGTTGCGGTGTTGTGACAAGCACTTTCATCAGATTCAGCTGCCTTGACTGCATCCTTGAAGGGGCTGGGCTTATTCAGATTGTGGTTCTCATCGGCCATCTTCCCCTCAATGCTCGTTACAGCGTTGGTGGATGCAACCACAAGGTTTTCCCCAGATGACAATTTTTCCGGTTCATCCTCTTTCAGGTCAGTAAAGGTGTCGTACCATACCTCCTCCTTAGACAGCTCCTGATCCTGCTCTGTCTTGTTACAATTTGGGGTCAGCGTAGAGATCAATTGTTTACATATTTGAAGAACATTGAAGACATCTCTAACTAGTAACTCTAATGTCTGTTCCTGCATGATAGACTTAAGCCCCAGCAGTTTGCTCTCCCCAGTACTGCCACTGCCGCTCCCAC